TTGCCTTTTTTTTCCTTCGTGTATGGCCTCATAGTAGATAGGATTGAAAAAAGAAGGTAAGATCAACCGACAAGTAAATCATCATGTAGAAACCTTGAAATAGGTATGGCGTTTTGACAAAACTCAACCTATAGTCATGGTTGAACCCATTAAAGTATCTCTTCTTTAGATCTGGAAATAGATGATTAACGACGACGAAAGTGAAAAAAATTAGGGTTCATAAAATAAAACCCACATATATAGACATACGACAATCTATCTAAATATGTTGCCTTAGATATCAGCTTAGACTACATACTCTATCTTCATATGTTGCCTTAGATATCAGCTTAGACAACATACTCTATTTATATATGTTGCCTTTGAACTGTAATTAACATAATATAAAATTTCTCTTGGGTAACATTTATATTGTTCAATTGTTGCCTAAGATTTTTGTGTACCATAATGCAGTTTTTTTCTTGCACACTTTCTACAAATGAATTTCAAACAAGCAAACAAACAACCAAATGTTTTATAGGAACAACTTTTATAACCAAAAAAAATTAATAAGTTCAATAATTGAAAGACAAATTTCTTTCCTAAATAAGTCTAAAAGTAGGCAACAAGTTCAATAACACAAAATTAAAAACTTAACCTAAAGTGTGAGAGGTTGGGGTTGTTGTGTTAGAGTTTGAATCACTAACACCCAACATAGTCATCAACGATTGTATCATCTTTCTTTGCTCAGCAGCTTCCTTTTTTGCCTCTTGTTGTCCCTTTTTTAACAAGCGAATCTCCTCGTCACGCTCGGCAAGTTGTTGCCGTAAATCTTCCTCGTCAATTATAGATACCGTCTTAGAGAATCCCTTCGCCGGTCCTCTCATCCTCGCAGGCGAACCGCCAAGCTACCCATACCTCGAACAACCGTACTCTCATGGGCGATTGATTCGCCATCATTGTACCGCTCACGAAACGGAAATGCATCTTCCACAAAATTTACAATAGGATTGACATTGTGACTCGAAGACGCTCGATTGCGTATTATATTCAACCTTCGTTGTGATGCAGTAGGTATATTTGTAACTTTACCGTGTTGATCCCATACAGTATAATTAGGGGTGTTCGCGGTCCGGTTTGGGCGGTTTAACCCTTCAAACCACAAACCAAACCGTAATGACGGTTTATAAAAATTTCAAACCAAGCGGTTTGACATCAAGTGCCCAGACCGGTCAAACCAGACCACGAAAAGGTGGTCTGGTCTGACCGGTTTTTGCAGTTTGGGCCTTTAATGGACTTTAAATATTAAACTTAAAAAACATATATAATTTAGAATTTCAAATTAAATATTCATTTTACTAAAACAAAATATCTAAACAAATAGATGTAATAATTAAGCAGCTCTTGAGTATAAAGTCGAAGCAATCCAAAGTACAAACAAATAAATATAAAACGTATTAGAAAACAAACAAATTAACAAAGTTACAACTCTACTGCAAGTATTGAGTAACAAAATCCACGACTTCACAATATTCAATGGTTCAATTCTTGAATCTTAAGTTCTTGACCAAACAAAATAGAAGTCAAATCTAAGTTGGTTGATGTCTTGATGATGTGTGCCGAAATCAAACCATGGATTAGAAAGATCAATAGATTGATGTAGTTCTTGAGCGATTTCAAAATTTGGAGACCGTCAATATCAAATGTGTCGATATGTTCAATGGTTTAATGGTTTTAGTCGTCGATTTTGATTATGTTAGATGTTAGGCTTAGTGATATATTTGGGTCATAGCCAATAAGTTAAAAAAGTTGCGCTTGCTAATATTAATATATATATATATATATATATATATATATATATATTTGGCGGTCGGTTTGGTCCAAACCGCCCAAAAAAGGTTCCAAACCGCAGACCGGACCGGACCGCCCGGTTTTGCTATTTTCCAAACCGGACCGGACCGCCAGACCGCTCAAACCGCCAAAAACGGTCCGGTTTGACTTGGTTCGGCAGGTTTGAACGGTTCAACGGTTTTTTTGAACACCCCTAAGTATAATTTTTCATTATACTAACATCTTTCAAATGGAAAATTATATCTACCTCATTTTGAAATAACATGTAGCCACAGTCTATGCAGGGACATTTATAATAACCATTCCAACTCACTGAATTCTTTTTAGCAAATTCCAAAAATGCATATATTCCAAGAATGTATTTTTTCTCGAATCTTTTTAAATTCATCCAACTTTTGTCCACATTTTCTGTCATATCTATATGTGAAAARTAAATGCATGCATATAGTAAGAGCTATAGATATTTTWAGACABGTAGTAATCCAAATTTACATGAGATAAACATGAAATAACTACAAAATTAGACAAAATACGATAATAATTACCTAATAATCTTTAAATGGCTTTTGATGATGAATTCAACATTTGTTGGAAGACAAAACTCGCCAATATACTCCAAGTCACATCCCAAGCCCTTAGAAACAAAATATTGGAAATGAAGATTAGATGTTGGAAATTGGGGAACTACAAATATTTATAGCTGATTTTCATCTTAGGCAACATAGAAACAAGAATATATGTTGCCTAAGACTGATTTAAAGCAACAAGCACAATAGATTATATGTTGTCCAAGTACTAGTTGTATACCCGTGCAATGCGGCGGGATGTGAAATTTTGAAAAGATGTAAATGGGCATATCGATTACGGACAAAAAATTGTATTTGGTTTTATCAGGATATATATTTGAAAAGATGTAAAAGGTTCTATCAAGATATATATTCAACTTCCCGCACAATGCGGCAGGATGTAAATGTTCTATCAAGATATATATTCAATTTTTAAATATCATTTTTTTAAATAGTTGGTGGTTCACATCTGTATCAAAATCCGAAAATGAAAAATTAATGCAATTTCTCATTCAGAAAGTCTAAAATTTATGTTTAAACAAAATAGAAATTAGAATCATGTTTTTATCATACACAATCATCATTTAAAACTTCTTGATACACCACATTTGATGTGTAAACTCCTTCCTGGTTGAACTTTTTGGTAGGTTTCACTAATACCTTCGTATTACCACGTGATATCCCTCTGGACAATGCCACGTAAAGTTGGCTGTGCGAGAATACCGATTCTAGTAGATAAACACCTACCACCGGAATTGTTTGTCCTTGAGCTTTATTGATTGTCATGGCAAAACAAAGTCGAACGGGAAATTTTTTTCTCTTTAATTTAAAGGAAAACATATCATCTTCAGACGGACATAGAGGAATTCTTGGTAAAAATATCCTCTTACCAGCATGCTGACCAACAGCTATTTCTGCATCGATAACATTCTGCTGAAAACCTCTACATATCAACCTCGTGCCGTTACACAATCCATTTGAGGGGTCGATATTCCGCAATAGTATTATTGAACATCCAATTTTAAGCCGGAGGTAATGAGGGGGTAAACCGCTAACAGTCAGTGAGTTTAAGAACTCCATCGGATATAAGTTATTCTTGTCATCTTCTGCTTCATCAAAACTGTAGTAAATTGTTTCCTCTCCACAGAATCTTTCAATCAATTGATCATTAATCTCATCGACATGCTCATTTTTTGTTGTTAGTATCGCCCTTGAAATGATATAATCTGAAGCAGTCTCGCATGTTTGAAGAGAAGGAAAGATTGCATCAATCAAAGCATAATTTGATTCATTTTTATTTGTGTAAGGAATGGCCATGTCATCAGGTATGCGAATGAAGTTTCCATCTACTGATTCTTCATCTCCATCGCCGACACGTAACARAAAATCYRAAAACCATGGATCAGTAAGTGMTCTCATATTGATCGTTAACCRCAACTTTTTARTCGAAGACCAAATAGGTGACATCCGTAAGCTTGAGTGTACGATCTGTGCTCGAGTGCCATGTCTCATTACTGGCAACACCTGTCTAAAATCACCTCCCATAATCATTATTTTCCCACCAAATGGAAGTCTCACCCCAGTGATGTCTTGCATTGTTCTATCGAGTGCCTCTACTGCCTGCCTCTTTGCCATTGATGCTTCATCCCAGATGATTATTTTTGCGACTCAAAGTAGTTGAGCAGTTCCACTTTGTTTTTTATATTGCACACAGAATTATTACTAAGAGTAAGGGGAATCTTGAATCGAGAGTGAGCTGTTTTCCTTTGGCATGTTGTTAGCGGCAGCACCGGATGAAGCGGTTGCGAGAGCAATAAGTCCACGGGAACGAACATTAGCAAGCAAAGCTCTATACAAAAATGTTTTTCAGTATCACCCGGTCCATCTACAAAAAACACAGCTGGACAATCATTATCTACATGCCTTATGATCTCATTAAATGCATGTTTCTGGTCGAAATTTGGAGAGTTTCGAGCATTTAAGTCTTCGCCTTGCACAATTATGGAGTACTCCTCTTGTACCTCACGAAATCCTCGTGATTCTAAATTGACAGCTGCATTTAAACTTGGAAGATCAAAATCATCGAGGTTTTTACCCATAGATTGTAAAAASAMGRCGATGTCTGTAAGAACCATATTTCGGACTCCCTCAACATTTTCGTAGTCTCGTCTATAATCTTCAGAGATTGAATCATAATGTTCATCCCATAACTTGCGAACATCTCCCGGCTCACAATAAATCAAGATCGTTGCGAATAATCGTCTAAGAGCATTAGGAAACTGAAATAAGGAGGCATCGGCAAGACAATGCGATAAATTATTGTCGGTCTCTATTAAACCTCTCTCAAGTGCTGCTTTGCGAAATGTTGGATGTATTATGCCATTAACCGTGTAAAGATCTTTAAAGCACGTGGGCCCACTAATATGAGACAGAAGTAGGCGTAGATAATATCGTTCTCCTTCGGCAGGATTAGCATGAACCAGTCGGCCTCTTATTGATCCATGTTTTTGAGGATTCCATTTACGTGAACTGGCATTCCATGTGTAATGTTTCGGAAAATCTTTGTATAAATATTGTCTCGCACTCATATCTGTTTTATTCCTCTCAAAAAATGCGGTCAACATTGAGCTCTTGTCTCTCTCTCTCTCTGTCTCTATCAACGATATCTGTCATTATATCATTCTCTCTGAACTTAACCAGCTGCTTATTCGGAAGATGGACCTGCAAAGCCATCACACAAGGGTGGATTTGAGAAAGTGGAAAGCTAAAAATCCTCCAAATTGCCTCAGGTGACGAAACATATCGTGTATCTTGAAATCTCTTTATCTCGTTGACAATGACCTCTTCTGTATCAGGATCAACATGAATAACCTGTTTGTCATGAACCTTGTAAACATATTTGAACACATACTTCACATATATTATACTTGAGCAAACCTCAACATTGATATGACAATTGAACATCATTAGCAACTTTGGATTATATGGGACCACCCATTTATTATCAAGGATATTGCCCCGGATGTTCACCTTTATTCCATTGTTTCTCCTCCGATACATCGAATATGAGTTATCTGTCTGCATCATCTTGTCATTGAATTGTTGAGGATATCTAAAACGTTATTTTCTCGGCTCACCTTCCATACAAGGGCTAGACGGTCGTAAATGGCCGCAAGGACCATGCATCATGTGCTTTATCACCAGCTCGTGCATTTCAGGATACTTTGTCGGGTCCGGGATTTCAGCACAAACTATCTTGTCGTAATGGTCTGGGTTTGTAATCTTGTGTTTCGGTTTCATTATCATGAGGATATGTGCATGTGGCAAACCACGTTTTTGAAACTCGATGACATAAACATATGCCCCAACCTCGCCGAGGATGTGCTTCTTGAAGAGTTGATTTTTAAGATCCTCTAATTTGGCATGAAAAACTCTTGCAACAAGGTCTGGTCTATCTTGCGCGGTTTGACCAGACAATAACTCTTTAAGGATTTCAGGCCACTTCGGATTACACGTCATGGTAAGGAATATATCGGGTTTCCCGTCATCTTGAACTAAAGTCATAACATCCATAAATCTTCTTCGCATATCACGTGGACCTCCAATAAAACTTGTAGGAAGCACAACCCGTTGTCTAATTCTACTTGGTTGAACCTCACTGGGATTGACGCAATCCACAACACCTTGGTATAAGTCTGATCTTATCTTCGTTTGATTCCTTTCAATGAAATCGATGATGGAGAGCTGTAAATTACCTGAACGATGGAGGACTGAACGATGGAGAATAAAAAAGAGCGAGGGTGATGGAAACCTTTAGAAAACAGAGCGAGGGTAAGTCTTTAACCAACAAACAAACCCAAAACAGCAAACCAAACCCAAATCAGCAAAATCCTAAACCCTAAAATAAACAAACCCAAAACAGCAAATAAATAAAATCGATGATGGAGATTACCTGAAATGCTTTCAAGTTACCTGAACGATGGAGGACTAAACGATGGAGAATAAAACAGAGCGAGGGTGATGGAAATCTGTAGAAAACAGAGCGAGGGTGATGGAACGATGGAGAATAAAATAGAGCGGTGAACGATGGAAACCTGTAGAAACTCCTTTTTAAAGGAATCGTCATCTTGGGAGAGGTTGTATAGATGAATCGTCGTCTTAGGAGGAGCATTTTCTGAGACATCTTCTTGGGGAGGGGAGCCGGTAAATCGAAGCGACGTATGGGGGTTTGGGGGGTTTGGGGATCATTAGATGTTTGATGAAAAGTAAAGGTAAAGGGGTATTTTGGGTATTTATAAATTTAAGACTTTAAGACTTTGAATGAAAATGCTTAATAAAGTAGTATAGAAATGTGATGGATTTATCGTACAATGCCAGTTGTCAACCTTAAAACTTATGCCAATCTTAAAACCTTCAACCACCAGGAGTTATTGTGTTTTTAAGCTTAGGCAACATAGAAACAAAAATATATGTTGCCTAAGTAAATTATGATAAATCTTTCGTACAATGCCAGTTGTCCCCTTGGAAGCAACAATTTGTTTACCTTACGCAACATAGATACAATAATATATGTTGCCTAAGTAAATTGGGTTGAATTTATAATTTTTACCTTAGGCCACATTGAAACAAGAATATATGTTGCCTAAGTAAATTGGGTTGAATTTATAATTTTTACCTTAGGCAACATAGAAATAGGAATAGATGTTGCCTAAGTAAATTATGATAAATCTTTCGTACAATGCCAGTTGTCACCTTGAAAACATCAATTTGTTTACCTTAGGCAACATAGAAACAAAAATACATGTTTCCTAAGTAAATTGGGTTGAATTTATAGTTTTTACCTTAGGCAACGTAGATATAGGAATATATGTTGCCTAAGCAAACTTTGTTAGATTTATGTTTTTACCTTAGGCAACATAGTATAAGAATATATGTTGACTAAGTAAACTTTGACGGATTTCAAAAAAAAATGTGGGTGTCCAACATTGAACTAAGGCGACGTAGGCTAATATGTTGCCTAGGATACATGCAGGCAACATAGAATTATTTATATGTTGTCTAAGGTCACATTTAGACAACATAGAACCATATGTTGTATTAGAGAAAACTTAGGCAACATATAATAGTCTTAGTTGTCTTAGCGTATCTTAAGCAACATAGGCAATTTACATTTGTTGTCTAAGGCAACATTTGGTGTAGTGTCTCGCCTTTCTCTAAATTTGTGGTGAAAATTCGCAAGTTAGAGGCTTAATGAATCTTTTCATAACCCTAACAACGAGCTGAATGGTTCCTATTTATAGGCATATTAGAGGCTTAATGANTTAGAGGCTTAATGAATCTTTTCATAACCCTAACAACGAGCTGAATGGTTCCTATTTATAGGCATATTAGAGGCTTAATGAGTCTTTTCATAACCCTAACAACAAGCTGAATGGTTCCTTTTTATAGGCATATTAGAGACTTAATGAACCCTTTTATACATAATACCCTTTGAAGAAGTGGAATTAATAGTTCCTAATAAACCTTAAACAATCCTTTTATTTTTCAAACATAGTCCTATTTCATCCTTTGTTTTTTTCTATTTCAATATTACAACTTTACAAACTTGTATATATATATTTTTTATATAAATTAGAGTAAATTACATTCTTGGATTTGCTATCCACTATCAACTATCGTTCATCTTTTGAACTAATTACAGTTTTGATTACTATGATTGTTATTTTTCTTCACTTTTGACCCTTCTGACAAAGTATTGTTAAGAGAGTCCATTTAGCACAGGGCCATTTTTTGTCTTTCTAATATTTTGTTGTCTTTTTCTAATTTCATTTTATTAAAAAATTATTCTTTACACTACAACAAAATCGGGTTTATAGCACACTCCCAAATTCTAAGTGTCCAAATAGACTTCTTTGTAGGATTTTGTTTATAGGACCAAAAAATTAAGTGTCCTATCTAAAAACGTTGTAATAAATTTATAACATTTTTTTAACGTCGTAATAAGTTTTTTAGGACACTTTTAATATAAAACGTTCCATTAGCACCTTTATAGGACACTATTTGAAAATTTGTCCAATAAAAAATTAAGTTTATAGGACACTTTGTCAAAAATGTCCTATAAAGTTGCTAATGCGACACTTTGTATTAAAAATGTTCTCAAAAACTTGTTAAGACGCCCAAAAACGTCATATAAACTTATTACAACACCTTTAGATAAGACGCTTTATATTTTGGTCCTATAAAGCGGTCTTAGGACGCTTAAAGATTGAGGGCATTCTATAAACCCAATTTTGTAGTAGTGTTATAGGGTTTAACCCAGTCTCGGTCAGTTATCATCTATGGCCAAACTCAGGGCCGTATCCGGTAAATTTAACATTATCATTTACTTACCAGATAAGATTTTAATTCACTAAAACGGTATCGTATGCAACAATTTACCCGGTAAGCGCTTACCATGGTAAGAGTCCTCGCCTTCACTTACCGAGTAAGACTCTTGGTCATTGTTTTGCTCTTACCGGTAAGATTTTTGATTTTTACCATATTCATCCGATAAGGTAAAATAACTTGGTGTTCGTTTACCCGAGTAAACGTTTGGCAAACGGCCCCTGAGGATCCCAATAAATTTCTCCAAGCAACAAATCATATCCTACGAATCAAAACTTGACAAATAAAAAAATCAAACCCAACTGAATCAAAACAGAAAAATCAAACCCAAACTAAATCAGATTACAAGAAGAAAACCCAACTATGTTGAAGGAAACTCATATATGTTGAAGGAAAAGATTACACTCACCGCAAAATCAAACCCATAAAAAATCACTTCTTCATTGAAATCAAAATCAAATTATAAAGCATTATTCACCTCATTCTCTCTTACTCACCGGAGTGCAGCGGTGGTGTTGGTGGCGAAGGGGAAGTTCACGGTATTGCATGGTCAGAGTTGGGTTCGATCGGAAGTAGATCGAGAAACGAGAAACAAAAAACAAAGTAAACAATGAGATTGTATTGCAACTTCACTGATTTGGGACGTCAAATCTATAAGTGGTGTGGTAGAGAAGGATGGTCGACAGTGGCTGGTAAGGATGGTGCGACAGTGATTGGTGGCTGTCGAAGGAGAAGGTGTTGGTTCGTCCATCGACTTCAAAAGATGAAGGAGACGATGGATGGTGGTGTCAAGATGAAGTGGGGTGGGGGTTTTAAAATGTTTTGAGTTTTGAATTTAGGTTTATATCTTCTTCATTTTTTAATTGATAATATAAAAATACCAAAATGACAAAAATACCCCTTTAGTTAACGGACCTATTTTTTAGAAGTTAGTCTGAAAGACCAAAGTGAAACAAAATGACAACTACAGTGACCAAAACTATAATTAGTTAAAAAGATGGACGAAAGTTGATAGTGGATGACAACCATAAGGACCAAAAGTGTAATTTACTCTAAAAATTATAAACGAGTTGATAAAATTAAGCATCAAATAAAAAAAATACAAAATCACATTACAAATGCTTTGTGTTTATTGTCGGATAAATGTGTTATCGTCACGATAGAGATATATAGAGATAGACATAGACATATTAGAGTTAGATTAGAATTACGTATCTCATGGTTATCTCTTTATAACCCCTCTCTATTTAAAGGGATTATGATTAATGAGAATTAACGTTTTTTCAGTTCTATATATTGATTTTCGACAACATGTTATCAGCACGTATATTCAATCAGTTCTCTATACATTTATTTCTCTTCTAACTTTTTCTTTCTTATTACCCTGTTTTTGTTTAGAGGGGCATCCCCAAAATCAAGTTGCTATATATGTATGCTTAGTGTTGCGGCTTGCTTTTGTATGGATAAGTTGCGTCTTAATATGAGTAGAAGAAAAAAAGACTCGGAACCTAAAAAACTGAAATTCAAAAAATACTTACAAGTAGAAAATATCAAAATCACTTCATAGATGAATCTTTTTTCCATACAAAAATCGGATACCAAAACTCTATGTACAAATCGGTTATGTAGCCTTAATTTTTTTTTTCCTGTTTTTATAAACCCTCTGCTCAATAGTA